CGGCCACCCCAAAATGTCCCCATTGGTTTAAGCGTGTTTTTTTTAAAAAAGTTTAACCCCGGGGCGCAACTCTTCTCACACTTCTAATTTTTAAACCCCCCCCCCCCCCCCCCCCCAATGAAGTGGCGGCCATGTGCATCCCTTGGTTGGGAACGCCACCGATGCGAGCAATGCAAATCGTTGGCTTTGTAGAACCTTGGAAGCGTGTTGGTCTAGACCGAAAATGTAATCCTGGGCAGGCAAGCGAGGCGGAACGCTTCGTTTCCGAACCAAAATCTTGCTAAATTCGGCCTGTTTCCGTACATGCGCCACAAAGATCTTTATCATCTGATAATCGTAGTGATATGATGTGTAAACGTCTCTTTGACTCGTAAATCTTGTGATATTCTCAACTTCCATTACTTGTAGTTATAAGGTATGCGGTATGTGTTTCCCCTTATATGCATGTAGATACCGCCCGTATGGAAGCAATCCAATTTAAGTTTGCTTAACGAATTGTCTCCATTGACGAGATTGAGCCGCTGTCAGCTATTTCTAACCGAGACGAGATACGAAACTACCTTAGGTCCATAGTGGCATAAGACCCAACCAGGCACTCGGATTGGGCTGAACTGAATCAGTAGGTACCTAGGTAGCATTGCTTAATAGTCCCTAGACGTAATTCTCCAAATCCTAGCAGGGAAATACTATGTCCCACTCAAAGTCACCTTCGCTTAGAGCATCAAATATCTTACCTTACAAGTTATGTCATACCTACATACCGAGTTCATGCCGGGGGGTTGTTTTAGGTTATTTGATTTATATAGATTAGGTAGGTATTTGTGATATAAGACTGGATACATGGAGCATGTACCGTAAGAATATGTAACTAGAAAAGTCGGGTAGATTTAGCCAAGCCATCGTAAAAGTACAAGTAGAAAATCAATAATGGAAAGATGTGGGGTAAACAGCAATATGTATGTTAGGTCCTCCTATGGATTCGGAGGTGCTGTACTGTCATTACGCCAAGTTTGCTTACCATAACTGGTCGGGCATAGGCAGATGAGTTTCTAATAGTATTGATTATACATTAGGCCAGTTAGGTTCTTAGCGGTATATTCGATAAATTTCTAGTAATTGCGTTCCGAGTCGGCTCTAAGCGAAGCCTTCGGGACGGGGTGTTAACGATACTATGTATGTACAGAACCGCTACCTAAGGTCTAGAGCCCGCTAGATGGGTACATGCTCTATGGCTTAGTCGCAGTCGGTTGCAGATTGCAGCTGTCTATGGTTCCAATTAAAGGCCATAACAAGGATAACGTGGTTTGCTGGGCTCGCGTGGGATTAATCCTAGTCAGCTTGATGTTGCATCTTATATTACTATGTCTGGTACACCATCTCGGTAGGCTTTTTGGGGAGCGACCAGGGCTTTGCGATCTCGAGAGATTTTTCATTTTGATGTTTTCCATGTTAAGTCTTTCTGTCTTTTTGCGATCTTCGTCTATTCAACAAGCGCGAATAACATACGTATATGCATTAAGATTCATGGGAGAAACAACTTGTTTGGTTCCAGGAATGTCATAACCGTTCGAGCCTTGCTTAGGCTTTCTCTTCCCGCATAGTTATGCCTTTCGTATATACTACTTTATATACCACTTGGCTGATGTTTTAGCCGCCGATAGCGATTGGATTTACCACGGAAGTTCTAGCTATGACGCCCTCAAACTCAGACACTGCCGCTCCAAGTCATGACGAACGAAATGACGAGAAACCCGTTACCATTGATATCGACGCAAACGAGCCACCGAGCTCTGTTTCAACATCGATGGATATAAGCCGATCGGACCCGGACCGACGAATATCGGTCCCGGCAGTCGGTCACTTGTCGTTAGACGATGTCGAGGCCGTCGAAGTTCAAATAAGAAATTTGTCGGTCACTGTCGATACGTCGCCTTCGATATGGGATCCTGCGACTTATCCTGATTTGTTGAAAACGCTTGGGAAAAGCCATAATGGCCCAAAGACTAAAACTCTCCTTAGTTCAGTTAATGCTTCCTTGAAACCTGGAACCTTGACAGCGATTCTTGGCGGTAGTGGTTCTGGAAAGACGACTTTGTTAAATACGGTCGCAGAACGCATGTTCAGCTCTCGACTCTCGCAAAACGGTACTACTACGTTCAATGGACAAGAAGGGGTGCATTTTGTCAGACACGCATATGTAATGCAACAGGACATATTGCTTCCTACTTTGACGGTACGAGAAACGCTACAGTATTCCGCGGATTTAAGGTTGCCTCCACCGACTACGAAAGAAGAGCGCATGCGCATTGTGGAAGAAGTCATCCTCGAGTTGGGTCTAAAGGATTGCGCAAATACCAGAATCGGAAATAGTCAACATCGCGGGTGTAGCGGTGGAGAAAAGCGAAGAGTGAGCATCGGCGTGCAACTCCTCGCAAACCCATCGATTCTCTTTTTGGACGAACCAACTACGGGATTAGATGCGACAAGTGCTTATCAACTAGTCAGGACTCTCAAGTCTCTGGCAAACAAGGGGCGGACTGTTATCACAACTATCCATCAACCACGTTCCGAAATATGGGATCTATTTGATAACCTAGTAATCTTGTCCAGGGGAAGCCCCGTCTATTCAGGCACCATGAAGGAGTGTATCCCGTGGTTTTCAAACCTTGGACTTGAACTCCCTGCTTTCGTTAACCCCGCCGAATTCCTCATAGACCAAGCCGCCGTTGACAACCGCTCTCCGGAGCTCGAGGAGGAGAGTACTACCAGAGTTGAGCGTCTAAAGGCAGCTTGGAACGAAGAATCACAGAGGATTTTTGCCACACCTACATCTGAAAAGGCCGCCGAGACGAATGATAAACCGAAACGACCGATAATAGGGCAACACGCAAATTTCTTTCGTCAGCTGCGAGTCTTGACTGACAGGAATCTAAAAGTTACTTACAGAGACCCGATGGGGATGGTCGGGTCTATAATGGAAGCAATCCTTATGGCTATCATCACGGGTTATATCTTCTACAACCTCTCCCGGGATCAACCTGGCATTCGATCAAGACAGGCTGCACTATATATCTCAGTAGGTCTACAAGGTTACCTATTTTTAACATTTGAGATTTTCCGTTTAACGTTGGACATTCCAACGTTCGACCGCGAGAATAGCGAGGGCTGTGTAACCGCCCTTCCTTTCATATTGTCCCGTCGTTTGGCGCGTTTGTTTACCGAAGATATACCCGTTCCATTTTTGTATAGCGTTATATTTTACTTTATGGTGGGCTTCGACTCTGATGTATCGAAGTTCTTTACCTTCTTTTCCATCATCCTTCTTAATCACTACATTGCTGTCACGCTGGCCATGACGTCTGTTGCCGCGGTTAGGCATTTTCCCGGAGCTAGTTTGATCGCCAACCTTACGTATACGCTGCAAAGCATGGCTTGTGGTTACTTCATACAGAGCAATACGATCCCGGTCTACGTAAGATGGACCAAGTATATCACATATACTGTAAGTCGGCCATATCTCACTTTAAGGAAAAATCGCTAATATCTTAATAGTACTATGCGTTTGGGGCTCTATGTGGTAACGAGTTCGAGGGTAGCTTCTATGATTGCCCCTTACCAGGCGGCGAGTCAAATCCAGCCTGTAACCAATATAATGGACGGTATATCATGGACAACCTTGGATTTCCTCGGAACTGGGTAGCACGACCGATCATCATCCTAGTTGCCTTTGCCATTCTCTTCTTCATCACATCTTGGGTTGGGCTAGCTTTTCTGAAAGTAGAGATGACAATTGCACGAGCTCGGGTATCCGACACGGATCTTTCAGCCGGAAAAGAGAAGATGGCAGCAAGGTCGATCCATGAAGTGCGGGCTATAGATGTCGGCCTCGACGAATTCTCCTTGTCTCTGGATAAGCGATCCTTAACCGGGAAAAAGCTGCCAACTAAGACAATCCTTAACCCTGTTACTGCAACCTTTCAAGCTGGCACACTTAATGTAATAATGGGACCCTCTGGTTCGGGAAAAACAAGTTTACTTAACGCTATGGCCCTACGTTTGCATAATACAATCGGCACTAGGTATCGACCATCGGGGAAACTGTCCTTTAACGACGCTGTTCCATCAGCCTCGGTGATACGATCGGTTGTGTCATATGTCTGCCAAGACGACGATGCATTGCTTCCGTCTCTCACAGTGCGTGAAACTCTACGATTCGCAGCTGGTCTTCGCCTTCCCACATGGATGAGCAAATCGGAGAAATACCAGCGAGCTGAAGAAGTTCTAGTCAAGATGGGTCTGAAGGACTGCGCCGACAATTTAGTTGGTAACGAGCTGGTGAAGGGTATCTCCGGAGGAGAGAAGCGGCGAGTCAGTATAGCTGTGCAGATACTTACCGATCCTCGGGTACTATTACTAGACGAGCCGACGAGTGGATTGGACGCATTCACGGCAAGCAGTATTCTGGAAGTGCTCCAGGGTCTAGCTAAAGAAGGACGCACACTTATCCTTACCATCCACCAAGCTAGATCTGACATCTTCAAACATTTCGGGAATGTACTGTTGCTAGCCAGGGGAGGTTCACCCGCTTATGCTGGTGCGGCAAGGGATATGCTGCCTTATTTTAGCAAACTTGGCTTTCAATGTCCTCAGCATACGAACCCAGCCGATTTCGCACTCGACCTCATCACTATAGATCTACAGGAAGCGAATAGAGAGGCGGAAAGTCGAGAAAAGGTCAGAAGGCTTATCGAGTCGTGGAATAATGTCACAAAGGGGAAATCTCCATCAGCGTTACAACCCAATCCCCGTCTTTCAAATATAAAAGAGGCGGAAGAGTCAGGGAATGAAAAAGGAACGACTGCTTCTGGAAACACAAAGGCGGAAGATACAGTTCCTCTAGGGGAGGGAGGTGAAGCAGTCCAAGAAGTCACCGATTCAGATGAAACACTTGAAAGGCGTCTTTCCAACCCAGCACCCCGTCGCTCGTACCATAAAAATGCTTTAGCAACGCCAGCCGAGCTAGGGGCACTTGTCCATAAACGTGCAACTTTTATAACGGCATTCCCACTCCTATTGCATCGCGCAACCATCAACCTCAGGCGACAACCGCCCCTCCTCCTAGCACGTACGATGCAAGTTCTCGGTTTAGCTATTATCCTAGCCCTGTTCTTCGCACCGGTGCATAACGACTACTACAGCATTCAAAACCGTGTGGGTTTCATCCAAGAAATATGTGCCTTCTACTTCGTCGGCATGCTTCAAAATGTTGCGGTGTATCCGGCCGAGCGAGAAGTATTTTACCGCGAAGACGACGACGCTGTATATAGTGTCGAGGCATTCTTATCAACATACACACTCCTCGAATTGCCTTTCGAAATTGCGTCATGTCTGCTCTTCGGTATCTTGGCCGACTTCGCGGTTGGTTTTCCCCGTACCGTCGAGATGTATTTCGCGTACGTTTTCTGCGGCTTTGGAGTCGTGTCGTGCGGCGAGAGTCTGGGTATCATGTTTAATACATTATTTAACCACACGGGTTTCGCCGTCAACCTCATCTCAATCTTACTTTCGGTCGCCCAGATCATGGCTGGCATCATGTCGATCAATATGCCAGAGCTATTCAAGATCTTTAACTATATCAGCCCGCTGAAGTATGCGACGGCAGCCCTGTCGCCATTTACTTTGCGGGGCGTTAAGTTCACATGCGACGACGCTCAAAGGCTACCTGACGGCCGATGCACCATCGAGACGGGCGAGCAGGTTCTGGATCTGTACAAGCTAAATGTTGACCCTATAGTCAATATCGGCGCATTGGCAGCCACAGTCGTCGTGTACCGTCTTGTGGCGTGGCTCTTGTTAAGACTGGTAAGGACGAAATGGAAGAGCGTTGTTGAGAAAAAAAGGTCATGAAGTCAAGCACATACCTCTTTGCGAGCCCCTGAATACGGGCTTTCAATTCATGCATGATATAAATGAGCGACATGCTTGAGAATAATACTATAATGTCTGATTTAGCGATTTCGCCATCTAACATATAATTGATAACTTAATAAGATTTCTAACTTGGGAAGCAAAGCTTTACCCAAGCAGGTCGGGAGCAGTCAAACTCATACTGCCTGTTGGTCCACATATCGTACAAAGCACCTATCATGTATATAATGAACGAATATTGTATATAGTACAAGATCCTGAAATTTAATTCATCGAATACTTCATCTGAATAACATATTATATGATGTTCTCACGATTAACGCCGGCGCCATGCGTCTTCCGATATGGCGCAAAGATGCGAGGTTAGTGCTAGTAGATTGATGATTTGCTATCCCTCGAAAATCATATCGAGGGTTTACTATGAAGTTACTGATATCCAAAGGAGTGCAGACGTTCAAAGTACCCATGTTGATAGAGATGACAAATGCTCTTTTCCAACTCCTGTCTCTCCGAACTCTTTTTTAAGTCTTTTGTGTTTCGGAAATCAGAATGCTGCCAGTTTCAAGATGGTATGTGGCATGTAATTATTCAGCCTAGGAGCGTAAATCGCCAATAGGAGTCAAGATAAAAGCCGACTGAGAGCGGCATGTTAACCCCTACAGCGATTAGGTTGTTTGGGCTTCGTTGATTCGGAGCTACTTAGAAAAAAGTCAGACATGTCTTTACTATCCATGCGCCGAGACTCAACAGCCGTTCAAAGTCGGTACAATTTCCTGCCGTTTTGAAGACTAGTTTGGCTGTGCCACAACTATCCTTGATGGAGTAACCGGAGCTACATTGACCATTGGCTCCACATCGTCCGAGAATACGACGGGCGGAGGTACACATTCGATACGGTTCGTTGATTACATCACACAAGATGCCTTATAGACCATTGTAGAGATGGCGAAAAGGGTGTGATGTGATAGTAGTCGCCTTGATATAAAAGCTGGAGGTTCAGGCGACAATGTGAAAAGAAAATATCTCCATCAACTCACACATCAATCTACAATAATACGATATATTGCACATCATTACTTCACTTACAACTTTGATACTCACTTCATCAAACACTTATCAACAATATCACCAAAAAAGACACAATGGCGCCTAAAGTTCTCTTCGTTTTAACTTCATTCGGCTACATCGATAGTGCTAAAAAGGAGTCCGGCTGGTATCTTGTAAATGCTTAAATTTACATCTTGGATGCCAAAGAGTACCTGAACTAACTTCTCGAACAGCCCGAGTTCGCCCACCCGTACGAAGTCCTCTCCGGGAAAGGCGTTGAGATCGTAATCGCGTCGCCGAAAGGAGGTATCGCACCGTTGGACCCAGCATCAGTGGAACAATCCACATCAGATGCGTCCTCGATCTCATTCCTCAAGACCAAGTCCGCGCTGTGGGAACAGACTACCAAACTCTCCTCATTTCTGGGGCGCTCAGGAGAATTCGACGCATTGTTTTACCCAGGCGGATACGGGCCTATGTACGACTTGGCAACCGACAGTGAATCCATCGCGTTGATTAAGGAGTTTGTTGCAGCGGGCAAGCCTGTTGCTGCAGTGTGCCACGGACCTGTCGTATTCACGGGCGTCACACTACCTGACGGCAAGCCTCTTCTCGCTGGCAAGAAGGCCACGGGGTTTAGCAATGCCGAGGAGGTCGCTATCGGCCTGCTCGAGCACTTGCCCTTCTTACTCGAGGACAAGATGAAGGAGGTCGGTGCTGAGTACAAGATAACGGAGAAGCCGTTTGACCCATTCGTGGTGGTTGAGGACGGCGGGAAACTTATCACAGGACAGAACCCTGCCAGCTCTGCAGGTGTTGGTGAAGCGCTTGCGAAGGCCATTGGTGTTTAGAGGGGTAGCTCTACAGTGAAGTAGGAAGACTGAAGAAGCTAGGAAAAGGGGGTAATCAACGCTGACACCAGTCAGCCGAGGATCCACCAAGATGGTAGTCATGAATAGGGGTAGAGAGTGTTAACTATTTAGATATCCTCAAATCAACTGTCATTCTCATTCATAAATCATAAACACGCCGTTTAAATCATTAAAACACGCTGGTGCGACAGAAGCAAGATGCTTTAATAGGTACATCGGCACCGGCTATTGCGGCATCTAGCTGTGGTTTTATAGCCCTGGCTTCATCGATGCGCCCTAGCTTTCCTAGACATTCGTGATAGCCATGTAACGACCAAACGTTTTTCGGGTGTTGCAATGCGCGCGGAAGCTTGCCGTCGATCCCGAGATCTTCGGCGTAAACTTCGACGGCCTTGTCGAAATGGCCTTGTTCGACCAGCAATGCTCCGTACGCATGACTAGGCGGCTGCATCCAACCCCACGGTTCGTCATAAGGAAGGGCATAGCTTCGCTCAATTGACAAACGTAGGTGAGAATAGGCCGATTCATAGTTACCCCTTCGGTATTCTAGCTCGCCGTCGAGCATGGCTTCTGCGACCTTTAGAATATCAACACATTTGTTGTTAAACACCATGCGGGACTCCGGAACCCTCTTCGCAGCTTCGGCAAAAAGCTCGCGCTGCTTGGATGCTTCTTCAACCTTGCCCGTCGCAGCTAAAGCCACACCTTTCGCGTAATGGTTCAATGCATTGGTCGTGCAGTAGAGCTTGCCGTCTTCGTAGAATGGTAGGTCGATAATCTCCTGCCACCGGCCAAACCGAATGAGAGCATGTACACGCATGGCGAGAAAACCCTCTAACCAGTCTGCCATAGGCGGCGAATTGACGCGCAGGAGTTCCTTCGGCAGGGTTTGTTCGAGACGGGCAACGGTATCGAGTGTGGCTTTCAGCTGACCGGCAAACATGCCGGCGTAGATGCGGAAATGAAGATCGTGCACCCGGTATAGAGTATAGAATCTCAGGGGGTCTTCTTTCGCAAAGAAGACATCATCTGCAATAATAGCCTTTTGATTTGATTCGATGGCGTTCTGGTAATCACCGACTAGAACGTCGATATGCGTTGGCATGTGGTTGAGGTGACCAGCATCGGGAACAAGATCCCGAAGCGTGTTCGCTGCGTCTAATGCTGCTTCGGGGGTCGTAGACATCTCCATGAGGTGTATATAGAGATGAAGCAGACCCGGGTGCCTGGATCCACCATCTTGAGCCATCGAACGCTCTAGGATAGCCTTAGCCTCTAATGTGCGAGCCCCTGATACTGGCTCTCCGGTAGCGATATCCCAGAGCTGCCATGGAGTCAAGTTCATCAATGCATCTACATATAAAGCAGCTATGTCCAGATCATCTGGGAACTCCTCGTAAACTCTTCCCATTGCATCAGCATACCCTTGATTCCATATTGACCAATTTTTATCCCCCGTATACTCTTGTGGATACCGAAACTTCAGCGCCTCGACGAGCGCTTTCTCCACGGGCAGTGCTTTGTCCAGCCTTGCCCTGGCCTGCTCAGCCACGCTGTGGGTACGTCGCATGACATTTTCAAATTCAGTTTCGTCGAAGAATTCCCAAGGCTTATTATAATTCGGACCCAAGACGTAGGCCAGGCCCCAATAAGCTAAGACACAGTTGCTATCGCAAGCGATCGCGTGTTCGAAGCATTTGACAGACTCTTCATGATTGAACGCGTAGCTCCAGATCAAGCCGCGATTGACCCATTCTCGAGCTTCTTCGCTGCTCGAATTTACTGTCCGCCTATAAGAACCAAGGTTATAATAATCATGATGCGGGTTGCTTAGATTTATGGCCTGAAGTTTGCTACCCATCATTAATTACAGTTTGTTTGAGGAATGTTGAATGAAGCTGCGTTATAATCGATTGCGCCATGTTGGCTTACAATTTGGATATTTCGCACTGGCTTACATAATAAATATTCTTCTATCGGGGGAGCCAAAGGGTTTCTTTTCTTTTCTTTTTGAAATTTTTTTTTTTAAAAAGGGGGGGGGAAACTCTCCCCAATCTTCCCCCCAAAATAAACTTAATATCTCATCCTAAATCTACTTCTCCTAAGCCTAACACCGAAATACCAATATTGTTCTCCAAATCAGTCAGGGACCAGCTGCGTCTAAAGTAAACGCCCGGGCCATCGCCCTCAAAAAACTGCACATTGCCAATAATTGTCCGCTTGCGCCATTCTTCAGCAGCGCCCCTAGATTCAAAGATCACGGCTATACCATGAGAACAACTTCGTAGATGCGTCATACCCTGAGCAGAGGGAAGTCAGACGTCATTAGGCCTTCTTTGAAGGATTCGTACTTCGTTGTTCATGGCCTGATAAGCTGGAGCGTGGTTCCGGCTCGGAAACCGGAGAACGAATTCTTTTTTCTCGAAATCATATAGGAAATATAAGTGAATTTTGCGCCCTGTAGCATCGGATTTAGGCGCCATCACTAAACAAATTCTAAGATATTGCCCTGCCGGTTAGTTTCGAATTTCTTATCACAGTCGCTCGGCGTAAACGAAATTGCGGTCAATATTAGTTACTCTTGATTAGGCTTTATGCGGTTTTCAATGAATGAACTTGAACTCGGCTATCTGAATATCGAGGCGGAAAATGTAGAGGTACGGCAAATAGAAATTTTGATAGTAACACGTACTCACAAACAAGTTGAAAGAATCAAAGACATAGCTCTAGCACAACCAGTATTTATAGAGAAATTCGACGAAATTTGTGGACAATATATGATACCAGCTTTGACGCCAACCTTGATGACTGCTGATACCCCGCCACAATTGACGAAGCCATCTTGAAATATCACTCCTACCCCACAAACGCCTGAGCAGTGGCTGGCTGAATAAAATGGGTTTGATCTCACTGCATGCAGAAAAAATCTTCATAGTTCGGCTTTCGAGCCCTACCCAGATGGTCAGCTTGTCATTTAATTCTGCCTTGGGTACTGACCCTAGGCGTTTCTACCCAATACTGCTGCTGCGGGGATCTTGAATACTTTGTGTAGAAGCATCACGCAATCCCTTACCTTGAAGAACACAAGGTTTGCATCATGAATCGTAATATTTCCTAACAGTCATTGCAATTATATGACACAGTACCTAGGTAGATATACATATCTACCTCTTTGAATTGTGGTGATTAAACTTTATCACAACAAGGTGAAATTGATATCGTAGAAAGACAAATATGTCTGATAGTACAGGAACCGGAACTTCCTCTAATGGAGATGATGGTCTTTCATCAATTCCAGAGATTCCAGAGAGTGTCTCCAATACTGAGGGTTAAATAACCTCGTCCTACCTGAAATATTAAGTCTAATACAAATTTTCACATTATAGCTAGCACGGACGAGGCACCGGGTTGGCTCAATGAATTTTTAATTGAACATTTTAAAGGAGATGTTTTCGAAATAAATGTACAGAGAAGTTCGGTGCCCCCTTTACGCCGCGCACTAAAGTAAGTAGTACAATATATGGCCAGTCTAGCTCAACTATAATTTAATAACTATGGTTGACAATTTTACTAACCTACTGAAGAGCATTTTTTGATCCCAAATCGGTTGAAAATTAAACGATGTTGAGAACCGAAGAAAGAAGAGGCGCCAAGTAACTATGAAGCTCAGTTTGGCGGCTCTCAGTCGGATGCGAATGCGAAAGTTGCAGATACAGCTTACCGACATAATTATGAAGATGCACTATTTTAAGGAGCTACCGGACGGCTGGGAATCCTTGCTTGAAAAATACAGTCAGTTTTTTATATATCATATCTTCACGTATAAACACTCACAAGACTGATAATGAAGTTACTGCAACGCGTGATAACGACTATATTCGGTCTTGTGTTGATCGAGGTTTACATGATCCATTCCTCGTCCGAAGCCAGAAGAAGGTTGATGCCGCCGTACTTGAAGCAGCTCTTCGGCAGATCCCACCAGAAAGGCTAGAAAGGCAATTATCCGTACGTAATGTAGGTGGGAGACAAACGTTCAACTTCGTTCCTCCACTAGAGCTAGAGCCAATAGCTATTGGAGGTACACGAACCAAGATGACCCAGAAACAGTGAATGGAGGCATTCTTTATAACAAGGGCTATAAGGGGCTTGGAAATAAATTAGGAATATTAATAATTTTCTAGGGTTTTAAGGTCCTTAGTTTTCCTTTTTTTTTTAAGAAGGAAACCTTAACTTATTTATAAACAATCTAAAATATATATCCCTTAGTTTAGCCAAATTTTAAATTATATATTAGTTTTATTTGTATAATAGAATTATATATTGGTTTTATTTATATATAGTTATATAATTATGTAATATTTTATATTTAATTAATTTTAAAATAGTTATTTTATATTTTTGGTTGGTTGTTAGGGATAACCAATAATTTTTTAATATTATTATTTATATAATATTATTTTTTTTTTTATATATTTATTTTTGAGCTAAAGTTTTAAAAAGGAGAAATAATTTTTTTTAGTAAAATTTAAAGGTTTGTAAGTTTTTTTAGATTTTGTTGATAAAATGTTAAGATTGTTTATTTAATGCTTTTGTTATCGAAATAATTAAAGAATTTCTAAGTCTAATGTTTTTTGGTTAGTTAACCTTTTTATTTAATTAAGTATTTTATGCTTTTTTGGGCTTATATAAAATTTTTAACTTTATTTATATAATATTCCTTAAACTTTATCAAAATTATTTTTTATAAAATCTGGTTAAGATTAGGTAGTATCTGGTTGCTAGTGCGATAAGGTTTAATAAATAAAGTATGGAATAAATTATAGATTTTTTATTTTTTAGGTAAATGAAATTTAATAGCAGTAGGAAAGATTATCTTTTAAATTTTAAAAGGGTTTAATATTTTTTTATTTAATTTTTTAGTTAATTGTTTAATTTTAATATTTTTACTATTTAATATTATTAATTGGTTTTTTTTAAATTTTGGTATTTTTTTTCTTTTTTTGTTAGCTTATTTTTTTATTTGCTAGCGATTTTTTTCTAGGTATTATTATGCCTTGGTGTAGATTTATTTTATTTAATATGCATATAGCTAATTATTTAGATTTTTAGGAGTTTTAATAAGCGGATTATGAATTGTTAGGTAAAAATTATAGTTTGTATAGAATGGTGTTATATATAACGATATTAATTTTAAATTGTTATATATAAATTTTATTGTAGGTAGTAAGTTTTTTTAATTAATTATTTTATAATTAATAAACGTTTAAAAATAGATTTTAAGGGTTTAATTAAATTGTTTTATTTAATTATTAGTTTGAAAATGGAAGGTTGTATTTATTTATGGTTTGATGTTTATAAGTTTAAAGAAGTTTTATTATAGGTAGGCGGTAAATTTAAAATTTTGGTTAGAAATAATATTTAAAAGAATTTTATATAATTTTTAATAAAATTTAATAAATATTTTAATTAAATTTATAATTTTTTTCTTTCTTATTTTAAAAAGTATAAAATATATTATTTTAATAAATAAATTAATTATAATTTAAATAAAATTATAGTTATTAAATAAAAATAAATTAGTAATAAAATCTATAATAATAATATATTAAGGTATATAATGTAGTTTTATGGGTTGGAATAAGTTATAAAAAATTTATTTATTTATTTTATTACGTTAATATTTTAAATATTTTTTAATAAAATCTTGTATTATAGTTTTTATATTGGGTTATTAAAAATTTTAAATAATAAATTTTAAAATTTTATCTATTTTTATATATCTTATTACCCTTATATTATATTTTAATTTTATAATTTCCTCCTAAAATATTTAAAATACCCATAAATATCTTTTTTTATATAAAAAATTTTTTTATAATTTAAAATTATTACCTAAATTATTTTTTTTCTTTGTATATAAAAAATTATTTTTTTTTAATTTTTTAATTCGTTTTATAAATTTAAGTAATTATTTAAAAGTTAAGAAATTGTTTAAATGTTTTAATATAAAAATAACCACTATTAAATATATTATATTAAGATTAAATAAGTGTAAAAAATGTTTTTTTTATAATATCGACATAACCGATTAATCCTTAACTTCTTTTTTTTTAAACTAATATTATAATAGTTTAAATAAAATATTGGTTTTTTTATTTTATCTTTTAAAATAATAATTTATAATAAATTAATATAATAATAATTATTATATCTATTTAACTTATCTTCTATTTAAAACCTTAATAATTATAAAATAAAATAAATTTTAATAATTAAAAAATATTTTAATTTAATATTATATTCTTTTAAAATAATATTTTTATTAATTAAAAAAATCAACAATTATAAGTAATTTTTTATTATATATTTTATAATTTATTTCCGCCAAAATTAACTTTTAAAAATAAAAAACTATAAATTAAAATTTTATTTTTTTATCTTTCTATAATAAAATAATTCTAATAATAAAGTTAAAAATATTAATTTTAAAAAAAACTTATTTTTTGAAATTAAAATAAATAAGAATTAATATTATTATAAATTTGGTTTTTAATTTTTTAAAAGTTTTATTTATTTCTGGTATTTACTTTTAATCCTTCTTATCTCCTTTATTTACTCTTATAATAGGTTTAATTATTATTAAAAATCCTTTAATAAATTGTTTATAAAAATTTATAAAATCTATAAATTATTATAATTTCTTAAAATTAATTAGTAATTCTTATTTTATAATATATTCAATTTTATCTTAAACCATAAAAATGCCTTAGGAACTAATAATATAACCTAGGAATTTCATTTTTTATACTATTTATTTATATTTATACGGGATAATTGTAAAATAATATGTTATAAATCTTTTTAAGATTTTTTTAATTATTTTATTATGCTTTTTTTAGATGGTAATATATATAAATAAATCATTAATATATACTAATAATCTGTTATTTATTATATTTTTAAAAATATTATTTATTATAAATTAAAAAATTACAAATACATTACTTAATCTAAAAGGTATAATAAGATATTTATAAAATCTATATTTATATCTAAATATTATTTTCTATTTATTACCCTATCAAATATAAACTAAGTTAAATCTAGTTTTTAAATCTATTTTAATAAATTATTATAAGGTTTAAAATCAATCCTATATTTTTAATATTAATAAAATAAGATATTACATAAATATTATTATTATATTTAGTTTTTAATAATTTATTACTAGTTAAAATAGATCTTTTAGGTTAAATTTTGGTATAAAGAATATTAAAAAAATATAAAAAAAAATAAATTTACAAATATATTTTATATTAAATATATCTTCTAGCTATAATTTTAAAGTATTTAATTCTTTTTTGTTTATAGTATAAAAAGAATCCCAAGGAGGTATTTTTCTTTTAATTAAATTAATAACATAATTTTAAAATTAATATTTTAAAAAACATTTCCTAATTTCCTTATTTATTATAAATATAAATTTTTTAAACTTTTTAAATACCCCTAAGAAAAAATTATTTAAGTTATATTATATTATTATAATATATTTAATAATAACCTTTTTAATGGTCGTGTAACACTGACATAAAGGGACCTTATTAATGATAAAGTGCCTTTATTGTAAATAAAGAAGGAAGAAATAAGATATTCGATTTTATTAAATAAAGGGGTTGGGTATTTATTATTATTGAAATATAAAAATATATTATATTTAATTAGTTTTAAATAGATTTTTTCTTTTTTAAATATTTTAATATATTAGTTTTAATATTATTAATTTATTTATTATTATTTTATTATTATTATTATTATTTTTATTTATGTATATATTTATTAATATTAATTAGTATTGTTAAATAGTAATAATATAAATTAACAAAGTTAAAAGAGTTATTATTGCTTTAATTTGAAAATTTTTATTGCGATAATATAAGTAATATTAATACCTTTCTTCATATTACTCCTATAATTTATAATAAATTATAATTTTACCTTTTTATATAATCCGTTTATATTTTTAGTAAATTATTACAATTTAGATTCTCCATTTACAAAATTATTATTATTTGTATTATTAATTCTTCCCATTATATCTTAAAAAATATAGGTAAAAAGTTTAGTATAAGTATAAATTTGCGTTATATATAATTTTGTTAAATAGAAAAATATAAACGAGTTGTATAAGTTTTTAAGTTATTTTTTTAATTAAATATTTATATTTAATATAATATTTAATTATATGGTAGTATAATAAAAAAAAATTGATTTTTAAATAATTACGTTTAAATAAAAAATAATATGGATATTTTTTATATTAGTAAATTTTAAAACTATTAATAATAAGGTATTATATATATATTTAATTAAGAAAATAATAATTAAATATTAGAAATAATTTAAAAGATTTATAATAAATAATTTTAAAATATTGTTAAAATAATTACAATTAATATTATAAAATATATTAATGTAAAAAGGTATTTATATAAAAAGATATAACGTTAATTATATAAAAATATTTATTAATTTTATATTATTACATAATCTATCCATATAAAATATTACCAAATTAAAAGTAGTAAAGGTAAGGTAGCTTAATATTAAACTGGTGCTGGTGTATCAGGTGACCTTGACCCTGATCATGTGATTATATTCTTAGTATAAGTACCATTTATGGTCGCACACATCTATTTTACATAGTATCATCCACTTTTAATACAAGTCATTCCTTTTTATCATTAATTTCATCATTTAAAAGTCTTTAATATCAGGTTTAATAGGGTTTAATCCAAGGCTAAGACGTTTAAGTTTTGTTTAATGGCAATTCCTAGCAATTTAAATCCGCAATATCAATCTTAAAAAAACTGTTATTATCGAAAATGCCTCATCGTGGCTTAATCGGATAGCCTTTTATAGTTAATAAGGCTTATAATATATCAATTAATAGTTAATTCCACAATAGTTTTATTAATACTTTTAGCCGATAGCTTAAATATAAACTAAATAACTTAATCAAACGATTTAAGTCTTATATTAATTATATTAGTTTATTTAGAAATATTTGTCTATTAGTTAATTTAGTTATGTTTTAATATATTAATTAATATATACAATACAATATAGTTTTATTAATAGCCTTAACAATCACGTTACTTATTAATCAAATTAATATAATCCCTAATACCGATATT